TAATATTTATTCTTGATCCCCCGCATAGGGGATCCGATGAGAAAAGAAAATAATATAAAATAAAACAGATCCACCAGGGGGTCTTTTTTAAGGGATCATATGGAAATAACCGTTCCGGTGGTAACCGTTCTCGTGATTTCTTTTTAATTGAGAGATCGACGATCCGAATCCCTATGATGGCAATTACCTGTGGCTGTAATGTCTAAGTTATGTACATTTGTGTACTATTAGTAGTATTACCCCTCGAAAAATGCGAAAGATCACATCGTGATGAAACTTGCAGGTTGAAGTCAGTTCATAAACTTTGTAAAGTCCCCAAGTCGCCAATCTTTAATGGTCCAGCATGGCAGATTATAGCCTAAGCTCTCTGTCCTTAGAGGAGACCTGTACTCAACAGTGGGAGGAATAATTTGTTGATATAATAGCTTTTTTTATAATACCAAGTGACGAACAAGTATCCATAACTGTTGCAGTGCCACTCAGAATTTTAAATTGCGCCTGTCAGCCTGAGACATAAGTGGACAAGTCCCATGTGCCTGTAATTTCACCAACACCTTTACCCTTCCAAACCGGAGCTCTACAGCTACTAAAAAGTTAAATAATTAAAATTAATTCTCAGCCTTTATACCAACTTTAAATACTCTAAATTCATTAAAGAATAAGCTTAACTGCATTATTTTTCGTTGTGCCATCGCCTGTAATGATGTTGCTTGAGCCTGTCCAAAAAAGCGAAGAAGAAAAACAATATTATAGAAAGAAGTTGAAGGGATGGTACAATTTTTCACAACAACTACGCCAAAAAAAAAAAAAATATTTTTACTTAATTTCGAGTTTAGACATTCCAGGTAAATGTTTTCCTCCCTTTGTAACTTTGACCAACAAACACGTTACAAAATTCACAAGTTACCGGCTGATGGTAATCCAATAAAGAGCGCAGGTAAGCTTTTAATAAATCTTACGTTACGTTCTTTATTCGTGAGAGAATAATTGCCTTTACTTTATCGAGTTCCAAGGATTTTTTTGGGTTAGATTACTTTTAGGAAATTAAATTATTTCTTCGGATCTAGCTCGCGTAATTTGCTTTTTCAAACAAATCGACGTTTTGGGCCCTTTAGAGGTCCCATGGTCACGTGATTTGACGGCGTGACATGAAACACTAAAATACAGTAGAAGTGCTTAGTTTGTGTGGTACGTGTGCCAATAGTAGGTACGCGAAGTTCCACATACTCAATGTCAGTCCGCCATTTTCGCTTTGTACGTTACGGTCAATTACCTCAAAAAATCGTGAAAATCGTAGAAAAATGCCTTATTTAGCTAGTTTAATATCATCTTTAAATTTTAATTTTTTTGTTAAAAGGAACGAAAGCATAAACCTTATACTGCTGCCATATAGCTGCTTTTTTTGAGAAATAAGTGAACTCGAATTCGTCGTCGTTCAGCTATTGATCGCTAGATGACAGCACATTGATTGAAATGTGAATATATAAAATCAAAACGTCGTAACTTGCAATAGCAGGTATTTAACTTTCAACGATATGCCAACACGGTAATTTTTGAATTATATTAGCAGTCCATAATTTGTTATTTCTTTTTATATTAACTGCATACGACCAATCATTGTATTTCATAGTGTTTCAAACTATGATTGTGTGAGTTTTGACGACAGCGGTTCTGATAGTAATCGAGCGCCCAGTGACTTGACGCGCAAGTTTTCCCCTTTCACGTATATGAATGGCGAATTTGAATTATATTTACTAGGCGAAAACATTTAAATTCCTCTGTAGCGCCATAGCAAATGTGCGCATCGTGTCATATTGGCAACGTTTCGTTTTTGGTTTAGCATTGGTTTTTATTTTGACAGTTAGCGCGATACGAAATATACGCAACGTGTCACATTACCAACGTTTCGTTTGTGGTTTAGTTTTGATTTTTCCTTTGACAATTAGCGCTTTTGGCCCCTAGGACTCGTCCGCGCGCCCGGTACGCTCATCTATATATACTCGATTTGCAATAACAGGCGCGAAACCTAAGAATTAGATTACTTTGTTGATTTGTTTGAAATAGAGCTTTAGAAGGGAATAATCTATTGCTGTCGTGTACTGTAATTATTATAATTAAATTAATTTAATCTTTAACGTTAAAGCTTTTAACCTTATTCCGACTTTATTATGCTTTAGGTAGGCCAATTTTGGAATACGCTTCTGTAATTTGGTCACCATTCTATAATGTTCACTCGCAAAGTGTTGAACGAGTTCAAAAATCATTTTTGAGATCAGTTTGTGTTAGTATCGAGTTCTTAGGTTTTCGCGATTGTTATACATAGGAAATGAAACTATTCCGGATTTAAATCGCGTATATTTGTTTTTTCAAACAAACCGACGTTTCGGGCCCTTTACAGGTCCCTTGGTCACGGTTGACTGAGGTGGTACAGTCTTCAACCAGTTATGTCTAATATTAATGCAAACCACCCTATTTTTTCACTATAGTTACAATAGTTATTAATTAAATACCTTATTTTTAATTTTACAAAGAAAACATTCCAATTTACGCTACATTAAGTTTTACAAATTATTTTATTGAATGAATTTTTATTAAGTTTAATTTATTATTAATTATTAATAGAAATTAGAATAAACTAAAACATATTAATTAGTACTGCAGTCTTATGTCTGTTTGGGATTTTTCATTAGAGGAAATACTGGATCCCAAACTGGTGGTACGGAGAAACCATCTTTCCTGTTGAAATTAGGATGTTTTTTAATTTCAATGGCCTCTCACAGCATCCTGGGCAGATAACGGACTTCTTTTGCAAGGACCTGGGGTTTGTCAAACTTCATTGAATGTGTAGGTTTATCCATGACATGCTCGCAGACTGCAGACTTGTTTACGCGACGGTGTTTGACATCAGCTATATGTTCTTTGACGCGGGTACAAATACTTCGCTTTGTTTCTCCAATATAAGAGAGACCGCACTCACAGTCAAGCTTTTAAACTCCTGCATCCTGTAAGGGGATGTTACATTTCACGGGTCTGAGAAACTGAGAAATCTTCCTCAGGGGCTTGAAATAGGTCTTGATAGATGCACGCCTGAGGACTCTTCCGATCTTGTCTGTAACACCTCTCACGTAAGGTTAAATGGCAGGTCTTCGCTCGACTGTTGGTGGCTTCACACGAGATCTGCGGCATTGGCGTGGAATCCTCAACTTATTCGCATGTATAGGACTTGCTTTATATGCTGAAGTTCCCCCGCCAGATGATTACTGTCGCAGACACCATATGCTCTCTGAAACAAAGAAAGAAATCCTAATAACACCTTAGGCCATACTGTATTTCGAAAGAAAACCCATACAGATAGGTACCTCAATGGTAATTCCCATCACCATCCTAGCCAGTTAGCTACCGTGGGCAAATCTTTGTTTGAAAAAAGTTTGCGGTTTGTTTCAAAAAACAAATATACGCGATTTAAATCCGGAAAAATAGTTTCATTTCTTAGTTTGTGTTAGGTTCGGTTTACTGCGAAGTCTGCAATCGTATGCTAATAGGGTTGAGTACTTTAAGGTACCGTTATTGGTAAAAAGGCGAGATGTTAATGAACTCATTTACTTACATAAAATCATACATTCTATGGTGGATTGTCCCGATCTTTTAAGCCAAATTAATTTTAATGCCAAATTAATGCTGCGCTGTGTGCTGTGTTCACTGTTTTTGGAATATGGTCTAGGCTATCAATGTATCAAACTGTATCTGTTACCATGTGATGATTACATTCTGTTTGAGTACCTTTAAAATAAAATAAAATAAGAAAAAAACTTTAGTGTAAATCATCAGTATTACCCAGCATTGTAGCTTACTTTGAATTCTCCTCTCTTACTAGAACAAGTTAATTATTACTCCATGACTTTGCCGCAAGAAGACGAGATGAGGGTAGTCGTCGACAGTGAAAGAGGGTAGACGCATATATCTTTCCTTAAAGCTGTCACATGCCAGTCACTACGTGGCTTTGCAGAGTGTAATTTCGTTGAAATTCGGAAGAAGTATAACACGAAACTTTTAAGACCAATATTCTTCTTTTAATAGTCGTTAAAAACCAAAAACACAGATCCGCAACAAGCACATCCAAAAATTCGTACGGTCTGCTAGTTCATTCTGTGACCTATACCCCGTTCAACCATTTATTTTACTTTTGATATGTGCATGCCTCCGAAAAAAAATGCAATAATCCTGGACCTTACGTACTGCCACTTATCTATTTCTGCCGCCAAGCAGTAATGTCAGCATTACTGTGTTCCGGTGTTGAAGGGTGAGGGTGCTGGTGAAATTACAGACACAAGGCACTCATCAACTTATGTCTCAGGGTGACGGGCGCAGTGGGAGTGCCCCTTACATCTTTGCTATTTAAAGCTCTGAGTGGCACTGCATCTGTTATTTACAGGCGTGTCGTTTTTCACCAGGCGCACGACTTGTTTGATAAAAAAACAAAACCTATCTGAAATATTTAGTGAACGACAAAGTCATACCGTACCTTTAACTGCCTCCGTGGCCGAACGGTTACCATGCTGGACTGCCATGCAGAGGTCCTGGGTTCGATTCCCAGACTGGGAGAAATATGTGTATGGCCTACATTTATTTCACTCGTGAGTTTGAGTGTTATTTGTGGTTGTCTATGTGGTGTCCATGGCACCCGCGACACAGGGTTTCCCTAGTGCGGGGCTATGTTGAGTGTGTGTGCGTTATTATAATCATAAAGTAACTAACTTCAAAAGTAATTTTTAGATGCCTGTCAAAATGTTAACAAAAAACAATGCCATGTATGAAATTTGCCTGGTGCTAAATATGACAAAAATTTTGCCAGCTTCCCTAAAGTTGACAATTTCGTCATTTTGCAATTAGAAACCTTTACTTAGTGATAATTAAACTTATCCTTTTATATAGATTTTAATTTTATCCTTAATTTATCCTTTTAGTTTGAATCTCTAATCGAATCTATCTCTGTCCTACAGCATGCGACTGCCATCCAGTAGGAGCGAGTGGGAAGACCTGCAACCAGACATCGGGGCAGTGCCCATGCAAGGACGGCGTCACCGGCACCACCTGCAACCGCTGCGCGAAAGGCTACCAGCAGAGTCGAAGCCACATCGCACCCTGCATACGTAAGTCGAAAAGAAAAACTTATTATAAAACAATTTCGAAGTCTGCCTGTCTGTTGATTGACAGATGATTTTCTCCGAAAGTATTTGACATATAAAGTTAACATTTAGAACAATGGTAAAAATTGCTGGCCCAGTCACAGCCGTGCAGAATTAAAAGTTCAACTTCAGTTTTGGGATTTGCTTTTGGGAGTAAAGACAGAGAACGTTATTATTTTCATTTTCAATAGGAAATGAAACCAACATTTCGGACTTCTACATGCCCCATGGTCACGGCTAACTGAGATGGTAACATCATCAATCAATTATATCTAATATTAATGCAAACCACCCAATTTTTCAGTACTGAAAGTTATCTAATCCAATTTCCGCTAAATGTTTTTTGCGAAATTATTTTATTTTAACATTTACTTTTTTATTAAATTAAATTTTACTATTACTAATACAAAAAAAAACGAGTACAAAAAGTATGTTTAAGAAACTGAATAATCTCAGTACAGAGTACTAAAAAAGCCGACCTCAAAAGTACGTGGAATTACGTCTATTTGCTAAGTTTCATTGAAATATCCCCTAGTTCGCCACTATACAGGACTTGATACTGGAGATAATAAAAATAGGTTCTCCCTACGACACTACTCAAAGTATATCGAGGGAAAAACGCCTTGAATTGGAGAAATAGCAAAATCAACTAAATAATTGCTAAAAGTAATTGCTCCTAAATTAAAGTTAGGCGCTATTTATAAAAATGAATCTTCATGCGTGAACAGCCACCCTTAGAGGTGGATGATTTCCTTCAAAATTAAATAGGACCACTATGGAAGTACCCCCTTTCCAACAAAAAAAGAATCATGAAAATCGGTTCACAAATACCGGAGTTATCGCGTAACATACATACAAAAAAAAAAAGAACATACAGTCGAATTGAGAACCTCCTCCTTTTTTGAAGTCGGTTAAAAACACATTTAACACATGAAAAAATAATATATTACTTTTATTTCGTACTTTTTTTATACATAAAGCTACAAGTTCTTATTCAATGATAGAAATAGAACGCATGCTTCCCGATACGATGGAAAAAAGATATTTATACCGTTGTACGCGGATAGGTTCCGAAGCAAAGAATCAAATATGAGATGACCTGAGTGTGGAAAATATGAAAGAGTGATCAACGGCGAAAATGAATTAGTTTTATTTAGGTGCGCATGCTCCATCGTCGACCTCATCGACTTTCCATCATGTGAGATGGCGGTCAAATGTGTAGTTTTTATAAAAAAAAAACTTTATTAATATAATTTTCTACTTATGTGTCAGGTATTCCTCGGGTGGTGACAGCTGTGCAGGCTATAGAAGCGATGGAGGGCGAGCCGGGCCGCGGTAAGTAGTAAGTGGACTTCATGCACTCTCATCCCACAACACCGCATGATTGGTGCTCTATCACGTTCGTCTCTCAACTAGTTACAACTATAATCAGTTGATTATTGTCCAAGAATTTTATTGGCTTCTAAAAAAAAGGAAACAATCAACAAATGAATTCAAATCTCTTTTAGAATGTAAAAAGGTAACAATTTATGTATTCATTCAAGTAAGAACATTGAAATACGTAGAAAAATGATAATGTTTTATAAATTAAGAAACGTGATCGAGCATTTTCTAAAGAGTGGCTGTAAAGTTCTTAACTTGGTCATCGGTTTATTCTTTATAACAAAAACAAAAAACTGATAATGATTCCATTAAAAATGAAAATTTTGTCTAAATACGTACAGCCACTCGTTATTATTATTTGCACATTAAAATATTAATTTCTAGTTGTTTGATTTAATTGATAATTTATTTGTAGGCTTCTTTTCCATCATTACCATATTCACAATCATGTTATCTGTTGAAATGTGCTGGGCAGCGAGGTAACTGTATTTCAATTAAAATAATTTACATTCATTATGTAGCGTTCGTTAATGAAACAGATTCTCGTTTGAATTTGTGTATTATATTATTATAAATTAGTTCATTTGTGAGTTAAATTTACGTTTACGTATTTCCGTTTTGCAATCTCATTAAGATTGTTTCAATACAGTTTGCTTTTAATTACGAGTTATTAAGGTTCAATTTGTTTAAATGTATTTACTTATTTATTTATGAAATTTCGCTAATTTATTTCTAATGGTAGGTCAATTGCTTTTGCAATGTGTAACAAAAGGTTTAGCCAAATTCCCACAAAAAAGTATATGCAAAAAATGTTTAAAAAATTTACGACAAAAACATTAGCTACGCAATTTGCGCATTAGAGAGGGAACTGGTGGGAATTACACTCAAAGACCGCAAAACAAATACGTGTCTCAGACAGGAAAGCCGAGTCTCAGATGACACCAAATGCGTAACGAACCGGCGGTCCTCGGATGGCGACCGTGAGGATAAAAACGCCCCAGAAGGAGACCGCAGATGCGTTGGAAGGATGACATAAAGGAATTAGCGGGATTGAATTGGATACAGGTGGCACAGAACCAAGAGTAGTGGCAAAAACTGATGGAGGCCTACACCGATTTGATTGAGAATGGCTAGAAAGAACAAGAGAAAGGATTTCTCAACTTAAGTCTCCGAGTGACGGGCGCAATGCATGGCCTCTCGGATCTTCACGATTTAAAGCTCTGAGTGACACAGCAACTTGGACAGACAATAATCTCAGTACAGAGTACTAAAAAAACCGACCTCAAAAGTACGTGGAATTACGTCTATTTGCTAAGTTTCATTGACATATCCCCTAGTTCGCCACTATACACGACTTGATACTGGAGATAATAAAAATAGGTTCTCACTACGACACTACTCAAAGTATATCGAGAGAAAAACGCCTTGATTTGGAGAAATAGCAAAATCAACTAAATAATTGCTAAAAGTCGTTGCTCCTAAATTAAAGTTAGGCGCTATTTATAAAAATGAATCTTCATGCAAGAACAGCCACCCTTTGATGATTTTCTTCAAAATGAAATGGGACCACTATGGAAATACCCCCTTTCCAACAAAAAAGAATCATGAAAATCGGTTTACAAATACCGGAGTTATCGCGTAACATACATACAAAAAAAAGAACATACAGTCGAATTGAGAACCTCCTCCTTTTTTGAAGTCGGTTAAAAAGACATGAAAGTCATAAAAATAATACGAAGTACATGAAACGAATAATGTATATGTAAAGTTTTATAACTGTCCTATTTATGAGTCGACACTACCTCATATGGCTTTTGTTGATTCGGCATAACAGTGTTGAATCAATCATTTTGAAAAGGATATATAGTAAAATTGAGGATATGCACTTATTACTATTATATGGTGTGAAAACAAAATTTCCCTAAAATTCACCTAAAAATTTTCACGATAGGAAAAAAATTGATAACCATTGTATTGAACAGGTACTTTACGTACACCAATTTTTAGTATACATTTCTCATTTGGATTTAATTACGTTTGTAAAAAAATCTGTGTCCCTGTCGCTCGACCCGCGCAATAGAACCGATTCATCAATATTTTTGATCGTAGAATTTTTAAACCTCTTTTCTGAAAACTTGTCAGTTTGCTGATGTGACATTATTAGATCAAGGGTGTGATTTTTTTCGCGAATTCGATAATAGTTTTTTGCTTAAGTTATTTGTTATCAAAATACAAAATAAATTAACAGTAACAATGTTTTTATCGATTACCTGCGAGACAGGCTTTGCCTAGTGCAGGAATCATAGGAAATTCTCTGTACGCGATATACGCTACAATTGAGTTGTGTTACCTGGTTCTTTGTCGTAACTAAATTGTAATGTACCTGCACAAGTTCATTTGTAAAATAAATTATTTTGTATTTTGTATCACGATATTAGTATGTCTGAAACTTATGTTACACCTTGTAAAGCTCTACAGAACACATTTAGTTGTGAAATTGTTTGTATGACTCTAATCTCGTCTTCAACTTAAATGCCATTGGATACGTATATAGGGCTATACTTAAAATACTAATAACCTCTAGAACTATATTGTTAATATCATAAATAACCATTTTTTCCATGACTTTTTACAAAACGTATATCAATCAATAACAAATAATATCATCAAAAAGCGACATCAACTTTAGCTTTTGGCACCTGAAAAGGTACCGGCTGCGGTGAGAAGGTTCTAAGATCTCTCACTAGATGTCACTAGCGGTGCTGAATGCCGAAAAATCCAGTACAAAGATCTATAACAGAAACACTGGAGAATTTAGACAACTCGATAACTTGACCAGTAGCTTAACTACGGTACAGCGTGGAACCCACAAAGGTTCAAGTCCCATCGGGTTGAAGATAAAATTTTTCTGTGTGTTCGATCTTTGTATAAATAATAATCATTATAAAACTAGTGGACTTAGTTCATAACAAAAATGTCAATAATAAAAATAAACTTTCAATTTTTTTTATGTACTATCTGACACATTTTAAATCTGTATTTCATTGTAAGGCTAGGGTCGAAACACAAAAGTGCGATGGGACGTCGCATTGCAAAATCTACGTGCACACACGACGGCTTGCAAGAATTTGCGAATTGCTTATTTGTGTTTTTTTCCTGTACTTTCTTATCTATGCAACACTCTTTTTACGCTTCATGTCGCTACGTAGTCTGAAAAATAGGTTCAGTATGATTGACGATTGTCAAAGGAATGGTTACCCGAAACGTAGCAGTGAGATGCTTGCCACACGAAATCGCATCGAAGCAATTCGCAGTTTTGTTTTTCGATGGTTTCGACCCTAAGGTAAAATCAAACTTGCGAGCATCCTAGCAGACACGACCCCCACCCTGGGCAGAGTTATCACCACAGAACAATAAATACAGTTAAAGTGCTAAGTTTGCATATCACGCATGCGAATAGTTCGCGGAGATCCGCAAACTTGAAGTCAGTCCGCCAATTTCGCTTTGTAAGTTATGGTCGTGTCAATTATCTCGCGCAAAACCATGAAAATCGCAGCAAAATGAATTTTTCGCTAGTAGTGCAAAAATTATCATGATTAAGTTTTATTTTATTTAATTTTAATAAATTTTCCGCCGATCTTAATCATTGTTTTGTTAGAAGTAACGGTCCAAGTAACGAAAATAAAACCTTATGCCGCTGCAATATGGTCGCTTCGTTTTTGGAGAACTAAATAAACATCTTGATTTCGTTATTGTTCAGTTATTAATCGCTAGATGACAGGACATTACGTCGTAACTTGCAAAAATAGGTATTGATGTTATTGAACTTTCAACGGTATGCCAACCGATTAAAATTTTAATTATACGAACAAAGGATTTCTTATTTATTTTTAAATAGGAACCACGACCAATCATTATAAAGATATGTGTGAGTTTTGACAACAGCGGTTCTGACAGTAATCGAGGCTTATCTACTATGCATATAGCACTTCTATTGTTTTTTTCTTCTTCCGCGGTTATCACGTTTTTAACGTTCTGTATAAATATTTTTATTTTTGTACGAAAGTAAACTTGATGAATTGTTTAAGTCATGGAACTAAAGTTGTTGTTTATGATTCTAGTAATATAGTCCAGATTGCTTTACAAATAATTCTGCATAAATATCTTCGTTAATTAACAGATTTGAATCTTAGTTACAGTTAATTATAATCTTTAATTTTAAATAACACTTTCTAATGTTTTGATGATGATTGTTTGTGATATCCACTCACTAACTTAATATTCTATTACATTATTTGCCATTAATTACTATTAAAAAAATCAAACTGGATAGTGCGTTTTTATACGTGCATATTGCAACGCGACTACCATAAATATTCTACGAAACATTCATTTTAAATCGCGTCGCATGTGTAGTTGTCGTCCGTCGCATCACAGAGTTATCGCGTGTCTAAAAACGCACTTCGAATCGTTAGAACACCCACCTGACGCATAATGTTTCCGTGCAGCAGCGGATCAGTGCGGCCGGTGCCGCGCGGGCGCACGCACTCTAAACCTCCACAAGTACTGCAGCCGAGACTACGGTAATAATGCACTTTTTATATTCTGTAATTCTACAATCATATATTAACTGACCTATTTCTCTTCAGGTAAAATTAAGACAAATGCATTACTTAAATCTTATAAAATTTTTGTTAAATGATAAAATATTTAACGAAAATTTTGGTGGACAAAAAATTGGTGTAATTACAGGCACATGGGACTTGTCAACTCATGTCCCCCCTGTAGTGCCCCTCAGATCTTTGCAATTTAAAGCTCTGAGTAGCACTGTAACTGTTAAGAACAGGCGTGTAGCTTATCATCAGGTGCACAACATGTTCGTCCCGTCGTTTAATGTTATAAAAAAAAATCATTTTCTCTTTTGACATGTTTATAGTTTTTACACAAGCGCACAACATTGTAGAATACAAATATATTATAAAGTAAAATTAATAGTAAAACAAATAACATCAATAGCCATGACAAACAGCTTCTTTACAAATAATGTAAATTTAAGCTAACAGCGCAAAAGTGGTGTAACCATACGTATATTTTTTTCTACATTATTAATTTAAATGATAAGTACTAAAGTAATTATACACTTTTGTTTCTAATATCGCCTCCAGTGCAACGGAACAAGATCCGTCAATGTGCACCTGTCTGTACATAATTATTTAATATATTTGAATGCATGTAATTATGACATAAATAAATATTTATTACACATCCAAATATAAAATAAATATGTAGGTACTTTAGTACCATTTAAAGTGATATTACCGAAAAAGAAAATAAAATGTGGGTTACACCATCATTGCTCTGATAGCCTCAATCAGAAATTGTGTGTGCTGTATGAAGCCAAATAAGGAAGTTTGCCCTCTCTATTTATTTTATATGTCGTCTTCTGTTCTTTGATACTAATGGAATTGCCTCGTTTCAGTCATAATGGGCAAGGTGGTAGGTCGCGAGGCGGGCACCGGCGGCGAATGGATGCGGCTGACGCTGAGCGTGCAAGCCGTGTACAAGCGCGCGCCGCGCAGCCGTCTGCGCAGAGGCACCACGCAGCTCTTCGTGCGCGCGCACGACCTCGCCTGCAAGTGCCCTAAGATGAAGCTCAACAAGTGAGTGAAACAGAGTGTTCACTAGGCACGTTTGTGCTCGCATCTTGACCTACATGATTTATTGCAATTACAGGACGCTCTTGGAACAACATAATAATAATAATGCACCTACTCATAGCCCCGCTCTAGGAAAAACCCTGTATCGCGGGTGCCATGGACACACTCATAGACAAGCACAAATTACATCCAAACTCACGAGAGAAACAAATATAGGTCATACAAATGTATATATTGTATATGTAACCATTCGGTCACGGAGGCTATTAATTATAATACTAAAATCGAACAAACACAAAGAAAACTACAATCTGACTGGACTTGAACCAGTGTCTAACTGAGCTATAGACCGAATGACCAGATCTTACAAATTTCTCTGTATAATTGCTGTGGATCTTTGTTTTTAGACGGCTTTTTGTGGCGTCGTTCGAAACTTTCAAAAATTTCAAACATGTAATCGCGCACGATCACGCTCCTGATCACGCGCAATAGAGTGACTGTGTAATGTGTTTATACAGTTTGTGGACTAATGCATGTCGGTATGTCTGTGGTCGTCGACAAAACTGTACAGGAATGAACTTAATAAGGAAGGGCAAGACGAACACCAGCGCCCCTTGGTGCGTACCTATCACCCTAAGTACCGTAACAGGCCCTAGCCCTAACCGTATAAGTGTGCTAAACAAATGCGGGATATCTGCGCCGTGAGACCTAAGGCATCACACTGACGGAGAGAAGGAAATAAGGGTGTACTGGGGTGGCTTTTCTTATTTCCAGTCTCACAGACTCACAAGACGATCTACTGACGGCTAAAGGTGTCTTGGCCACAGTGAGAGGAAGCTAGAAGGAGATAAATTAGACTCGACTGCTGTTTGTGTTGCTATATACTAACAATCAAAAGCAACAACTTTTGTTCCATGACTTTTTACAAAACATAATATATTTACCAAATATAATAAACTTTTAAGTTTTTGTTGTACTATCTGACAATTTTTAAATCTGTATTTGATAGTTAGTTACGTTCAAAAGTGCAATCCTCTTTTGGCTCCGCGACGATTCCTACTCCCGTCTTGCATAGAGTTATTGCCGTTTAGAGCAATCTATATTTTTAAATATATTTATTTTTGTATGAAAGTAAAAAACTAGGATGGCGACATTCCGTGTACAGGGTTTAACAAATTTCTCAACTTCCCAGGTCGTACCTAATCCTAGGAGTGGAAAAAGAGGGATCATCGGCCGGGCTTCCAGGCTTAACAGTAGGGGACAAGACCTTGCTCCTGGAGTGGCGTGACGACTGGCACCGACGCATTCGTCGCCTCCAGCGCCGCGCCATCAACTGCCATTAGCTCACGCAGAAAAAAAAACAACCAACCGAACCGTGCGAACAGCCAATGTTAAGAAAGCAACAAAAACCTGTGGGAATATTTTCACGGGTCGATACGTGTTCTTGTTATAATGATCTTAAAATTATTCCGTCTTGTTCCGTGAAAATGTAAGTAGATTAACTATAACTGCCAATATACCGTGCTGTACTATCTTTATAATGAATTACAATAATGCCTAGTCGGGTTTTAGGGGTAACGTATTGTTCGGATAAATTTATTATATTTCGAACGCTATTGTAACTCAGAAAGATATTTATCATTCTACATCGTACAATTATTATAATAGTCGATTAAATTTTGAATTTATTCTGAAAGATAAAAAATAAAGAATGTGTAAGTTTCTGCTTATAACTTTCATTTTATTAAATTTGGATAAACCTAAATAAACACCTAAATAAAACCTAAATTAAAAACCTTTATATGATAAATATCTTTTGGAGTTGTTAAATGGTATTAAGATAGTCAATGTCCATCCGTGTATCATCGATTATATGCCAAAAAACTCAGTTCTCCCTAGGATTTCGTTGTCGTGTAAATTATCGAAAATTATTTATTTAAAAACATATTTTATATTATCTAAGACTAATGATGCTTCGTTCCATTTCTTGCATTTTTGTATAATTGTTATTTTATATTGAACATGCATGTTAACGTTGTTTTTAAGTACAACTTGTTGTGAATTAAATGATACCATTTGTCAAAAAAGTATCGCTGTAGTCAATTTCTCGAAAACCATTTTGCAGGAATATTTCAAAAATGACAACACACAAAATTTCTTTTTTCACAAATGTCAATCACTAGAGTTCGCAATTGTACAAGTTAGTTTTAAGTCACGCGTCGAATGGTTCATCCAAACGTAGTCACAATGGTTTAAAGTACCTCATTTAATTAATTATAATAAACTTACATGTATAAGTTAATTTAATGTGTACAGATTGTTACAAAAACAGTGTGTTCTTAAAAACATTTTTGTAACATAATGTACAAATAAATTTAATTTTATTTTCGTTTTTTTTTCATAAAATTACTAAATTTGTTTGATCAGAGTTCATTTCATATCATGTAATAATTTGAAAAATTAATTATAAATTTTTAATAATTTGAGATATAACTTTATAAATTAATTTAAGTAGGTAAGTTATGTTACTCTTGCCAAAGTATTCTTTTTTTTTTCATTTTGTACATAGTACTTTTTTTCCATTTTTTATTAGCTCGATTATACATGCCTTTTTAATTAAATCAATTTGACAACACCAAATTAGTTGCTTTCTTTTTAATCGATTTGAACTCAAACAGGGGACAGCATTAATTTAGTGTTGCCAAATGAGTTTAAACAGAATTAACATCCATTAAAGTTTCAAATACAACATAATGTTGCCTAAGTAAAGGTATGTACAGTATTACTAGCTTTACTAAGTTAATTTAATTAATATAAGTCTCTTATGGTTTAAAAAAAGCTTTGTAAAGTTTTTAAAAAATTCTAAAAATATATTTTTGAATCCATCGCTTTGAAACAACCTTCCGTATTTGCTACATAAAAGCATACCGCACAGTCGGAAAGAATTTCTATGGAACCTAAATTGAATAGACTGCAATATATCCTTAGATATACTAAATAATGACATCAGAAATTGAAAGCACAGTACCATGCAGGAAAAAGTCTGACAAAGAGAGACCTCCATCAAAGTAATCATTTACAATTGAGCTGTCAAAATTATTTATGCTATCGGCTTCGGGTACAGTTACGAACACAATGCATAAATCATACCGATGCACGATACAACAATTCAAAATGATCGGTTGCGGTATTTCGCAATTTTACCGTAAATATGATATCTTTTTTATACAAGACAGTCTTACCGTAGATTTTTTGTATGTATCGTGGATTTCTTTATTAAAAAAAAAAACTTTTTTTAAACCAAAAGAGACGAAGTCTAGAATTCTAGATATCGTATTTAAAAAAAAAACAATTTAGGGTTTCGCTTGGTCGTACTACGGATTGTATAAAGTGTATTTTATTTGTAGTTTGGTATTACCCTGTTTCTAGCTATGCATATCTTTAGATTTCGTAATAATCGCTAAGTGTATATACGGCCGCCATTTTGTTGTCGTGTTTCATAAATTGCATAATTATTGTCACAATGACTTTTGACAATATGCATCGATAATGCAAAATAGGTTATAAAATATAACCTAATTGTCACAAATATTAATAACAATGGCACAATATTAATCAGTAATAACAAAATGGCGACCAAGCGCACATGAAAAAATTATAATAATAATACTAATAATGTCTGATCGTATTTGTATAGATATAGTCTGTTTGTATTTCTACTGGTTGCCGGTCGTACTATGAAGGTTTTATACTATCTATAAACATTTACAGGCCTATTATAACGTCCTATAAATAACGTGAGCAAAATGCAATACTTGTTAGTGCGCACTGAAAAATAGAGCAGGGTTGTATGTTACTTAATTTTTTTTCGATATTTATTATTATTGCGATAAAGTTCATAATAAGGGTAGAGAAAGCTCTACGATCACAAAATGGCCTGTTCTGTTTTTTTATCGAATAATGGCCGCAGAAACATTTAGTTCCACTCTTGTCGTTCCTTTATCCGGTTACTAGGAAATCGGGAACACTCACAGTTGGTGGTATTCATTCGCAAGAAGCTCCTTGCTTCTGTTTTCTTAATACATACGGCAAAGAAATGGAATAAACCAGTGTTTCCTGTAACTACAATTTAGGGCTATTCAAGGCTTGCGTCTGTCCATAACAAATACAGTGCCGCTCAGAGCTTTAAATAGCAAAGATCCTGAGACTACTAGAGACTCATAAAAAAGAAAACATTTTTGAAATCAACTGTTCTAAATAGAACGAAACAAAAATTTAATTTCGATTTCGTTCATTCGTTCATTCATATATTTTTAATAAAACACGGCGAAGGATATTTCTGTTCTTTTTTAAATATAGCTGCGAACTAATTCAACAAAAAGGCGTCCCTAAAAATACCCTTATCTGAAACCGTCACCAAGATTTACGAAGCGATCTTAATTAAAAATGATGGTAAAAAGTACATATAATAAGGGACTCTATTAAGCTGAAATTTATGGTGATAATTAACAACGCGGCCTATAAACGTCAAAGACAATTATGAACACAATGTTGTACCAATATCGTTATTCCATTCGAACAAGTCTTGGATACCCATATTACGTTATTTTAATAACCACTATTTCGAAAAACTGTTATATTTTGATCTATTGATAGTTGTATAATGTAGCTGAGAAATACGTCGATAACATAAATAACAGTGTTGCAACGTATATTCGGTTGTTAGTTGGAATTCAGCTTATTCGGTCTGTTTTTTGCTATTCAGCAAAATACCGAACACTGAAATAAGTAAATTATCATGTAAATTTCATTATCATTTACTTTAAAATATAACCAAAATAAAACTACATTGTAAGTTTGAAAAGGTGCATTGTTTTGCTTTTTTATCGAAAAGATTAATGGAAATGTAACATAACTAAGTTACCTCTCTGTGAGATCAAAAAAGGCTACCTACTTTTTATGTAGCTTACTCATGACTAAATAAACGCAAACAAAATCCACCAACTAGTTTGTATTTGCAAAGCAAAATAAAAGTTTTTGAAAGTTAAACAATTTCTTTCTTCATTCAAGTCATAAAATAAATTAAAATCAGGTCGAATAGTTTGGCCGAACATTCGGTTATTCGTTCACACTCCATGCCGAACATGCTACTCGTTGCAACACTAATGAATAACATAAAAAAAAAATTCTCCTCACGAAGTCGACTTGAATTTAGTTACCTTACTTCACGATAAACTTTTAAACTACATCCACCATTTCCTTCGGCTACTATACTGCCCAGATCGAGCAGCTCTTAAGTTTTGGCAAATACCCAACCTTATCTTCCATGTTATCAACAGCAACAATAACGTAGAGATTGGGTTGCGATGGACAAAAGAACCCCTATAAGATTAGATTTTTCGTCCCACGACGCACCTTTACTGCTTCCCTAGAACATTGGCGTTTTCTTGAAATCACTATTTACAGGATATTGTTTTGGAGATCAGCATGCTGATTTTGATTCAAACTGGATGCGAAGTGATCGGGTAGTCTCGAAATCAGATAGGTTTCTGAGCGGGAAGATGAGCCTGATTCCCATTATATCTTTCTAATTTGTGAGTTAAATTAACTATTGTTCCGATTTGAAATGTCAAAAGTTTCCGATCAACCAGTTGTGAATCGCAATTATGCGCCTCGACTCGGAAAAGACGCAGTTTCCGACTGGGCAATCAAAATGAAATTGCAGAATTCAAAATAATTAAAGCTTTGGAAGTGAAACAATTTTTTCGGATCTAAAATTTCGTTTATTTGTTTTTTCAAAGAAACCTACATTTCGACGTATTTTGTTTTATGGTATCAAGCGACGGGATGTCTATCCATGACAGTTGCAATGCCACTCAAAACTATAAATCACAAAGATCTGTGGCGCACTGTCACTGCGCCCGTCCCCTTGAGGCATAAGTTGACAAGTCTTAAAACCGGAACGTAGTGAATGCTCACGCTACTGCTTGGCGACAGATATACTTCCCTAGACGACTTCTTTCACAAGGAGCCTCTACTGAAGAAAAGAATATATATGATTTTATATCCGAAAACGTAGTTTCATTTTGATATTTTAGCTATCGCGAAGAGCGCTCGATATAATTAAAGTTCTCTATTGCACCTAAAACTTGAAATAACTTTTCTTCGCGGACCGTTTATAAGGCCTATTATTACTGTCACAGAAAAAATAAGTAACATTTCTTTCCCCAACTGTACTGATTGTGTATTGATAGTTTATAATAATTACTATAATATAATTTTAGTTAACTTATTTATAAATGTAATAAGGGATGTCAATTGCATTACGGCACGTGCACGTTTCAAACAGACCATAGACAAAACATTCTGAGTAATTTGTAGCCGTATAATTAAAAACATAGGTACGAATTTGTCTTGTCTATTATCGGTTTTTATTCTTAATTCGAATTATTTTGCTGCAATATATTATAATATGGAGGTAATTTTAAATAGACAAAGAATTTATAATAATAATTACAACAAATATGTGCCGTAATTAAAATATGAATTAAAATTTTCATAATTAATTATGATTATTATAATTATCCCTATAATTTTGATGCAAAATAATTCGTTTTAACAAAACGTGCCGGTGCTTGGCGGTGTGTTCGCGGTGAACTTGAATTATGTTTTTTAGATAACCCTGCTCCTGTGATGTAATAAATGTTATTGGTTATATTTATTTAAAAATAAAACTACATTAATATACGAAATTTTGTTTTTAATTGTTCC